AAATATGTTGCAAAACACAACACTGAAGAAGACAAGTAAAAAAATGAATGAATCACTGCACACGAAGTGAATTACGGGGGAAGAGAATAAAATACTGCACACAATAAAGAATAAACTTGCACACTAGAAAATAATACCTACTGCAGGCAGAGAATTAACACTAAGGAACACAGACATAAATATAAAAATGAAACACGGAAGGTGAACACTTGGAGAATAAAGTAAAATAATAGTCAAAACTCTGAGTCTACACTGAAAACACAAGGCTTAGAGTACACATGAAATTCACTGTAAATGTCTCACACACGCAAACGTCTTTAAATACAGGAAATTGTCTCTCATCACCAAGAAATGTGCATTCTAGGCGAACTCACATAAGTGGCTTTATCGTTGGCGCACAGCTACAATCTCTTCACAAATTATGTGAGCTAAAAAGACGGTGTTAGATCTGGTATAAGGGTGGAAAAAGCCACAGGTAGATGAGGTTGGTGGTGAGTGGGTGGCGGGTGGTAGTGGTGGAAAGCAGAAGGAACAGCCTGGTCCACTCTGCGCGCCCACTGGCACACACTAAATCTCACCACTCGCGAGAAAACCCAGGTGGCTTTAGCCACAATGTGCCACAGTGATGGTGAATACCACTCTTACCAGCATCTAACTGGTAACACAAAGCAGTATTGGAGATAATACTTCAAAAAGGAACTTGCGTGGCTTACTTCTCTCTCTCAACTGGGTTAGGAAGCCGAGGCATCTTGATGGCTTAACCCTAGATAATGGCTGACTAGAAGACATGTAACGATGCACACAACATGAAGGAGCAGGTGGGTGACAGGAGACAAGCTGGATGATGGACTGAGGCAGGCTGATGAATTTGGCACTCTCTCCCACAGACTGGCTTACTGGCTGGCTTAATTGCAAAATTTGAATCAACTCCTCGAAAGTTAAAGCAAATAAAGCACATGAACTAAGCCAGGGAGCTTGAGAGTTGGCTGCACAAACTGGCTTTGCAGGCTGGCATCTCCTGGTGGAGGTGAGGAGGGTAGAGCAGGCTGGGTGCTAGAGGTGGTGGTACAGAGGCATCCCCTCTGACCTGTGGGCACCCCACAAAAATTTTTCTAACGGTGGACATTCCATTAAATCAACGCCCACAACGCTGCCACCAATTGTCGCGTAGGATTTCGAAACGTGAATTGGGTAAGAAACACTGACGTATGATGTTAAGTACATATATTGGACGGAATGTATGGGGAGCGCCTTCGCCTGACCTGCCGTCTATCTTAACGTCTAATTTCAACTGACTCACAGTGCAAGAGGGTGAGTGGCATACAAATCATGCTAGGTCAGCTGTAACAGTGAATAACAGTCAGTGATTCATGCAGGAACAGAGGATCGGTAATAGTCGGTGTATGAGTCATTACTACTGGCACTGGTACCAGTAACTGATATTACTGAGACGAGGATCAATGTTTTAGACCACGAAGCACACCACTTCTTTCTTTCTTCCCTCTCTGTAGGAAGTTTTTTTTCCATGTCCACATGTATATGTATATATATATATGATTTTTATTTTGTGTTCTGTGCCCTGTTCCTGCATGAGAGAGACCGAGTTTTTTTCCTCAGTCAAGCATGGTCGAAGTCGACCATGGGTAAGTGACCGAACGACATGTAGACTATAAGCCTACATGCCTAATTCCCATAGCTTCCCCATGAGGGCAAGCCAGTAGGCATGCCACTTCAAACGGCATCACTCTGCCTCTCCCTCACTCAGGCAGCTGATTCCATTCAGTAAACAAGGTGCACTAGGCCCCCTCGGGGCCTGGGAACAAACACACTCCCTCTGTACCCACGACATCGCAAATAAAGTAAGAAGCCTCCGAAGCAATATCATTCATCCACTGCCTAACATAATGACCCAATAAGCCTTTATTATATACACAACTAGCACCATCACACAGTAATACAAAGTACACAGTGCAACACTTACTGAGGTAGCGAAGTTGATGTAGTGTGGAGGTGACAGTATCTTGTAGTTGTGGCAGGAGACAGCCAGCATGGTGGTCATTCACCACAGCCAGGTCGAGCCGCCACAGCTTGGGGCAGTCTTGAAGGAGACTCACACCTCCACCAGTAAGACAACCAATGAACTTTATCAGGTGACTCCTGTACCAGGATAAAACACTGATGAAACCCTTCCTCTTACTGACTCACAACCTACACATTATATTACACTAAGTGGTAGTCAACAATGTTACACTGTATATTACACAAAGTGGTAGTGAACAATGTTACACTGTATATTACACAAAGTGGTAGTGAACAATGTTACACTGTATATTACACCAAATGGCAGTGAACAATGTTACATTGTATATTACACCAAATGGCAGTGAACAATGTTACACTGTATATTACACCAAGTGGTAGTCAACAATGTTACACTGTATATTACACCAAGTGGTAGTGAACAATGTTACACTGTATATTACACCAAGTGGAAGTGAACAATGTTACACTGTATATTACACCAAGTGGAAGTGAACAATGCTACACTGCATTTTACACCAAGTGGAAGTGAACAATGCTACACTGCATTTTACACCAAGTGGTAGTGAACAGTGTTCCACTGTATATTACACCAAGTGGTAGTGAACAATGTTACACTGTACATTACACCAAGTGATAGTGAACAATGTTACATTGTATATTACACCAAGTGGTAGTGAACAATGTTACACTGTATATTACACCAAGTGGTAGTGAACAATGTTACACTGTATATTACACCAAGTGGTAGTGAACAATGTTACACTGTATATTACACCAAGTGGCAGTGAACAATGTTACACTGTATATTACATCACTTCCGTCGCAACTTGAAAATTAAGCATTTGCGACGGAAGTGATGTAGATCATCATTCAATTGAGATCTGTTATTGAAATGATAAAGACTTAAAGACAGGACAAAGTGCTTTTAAAACCTACAAACGGAAGTCAGTTTGCGTTTTTAGGTTTTTCTTTATAGTATTTTTACCAAAAGTGCGTCTTTACTGGTCCATGCGTCTTTAATGGTCCATGCGTCTTTACTGGTCAAGTAACCCTATCAGGTACCTCCCTTAACATTTAGAGGCGAAAACAAACATTTATCCATACACATCAATGTCTATCAACAACACTTCAGTTAATTTGTCACAGTACAAGTCTAGATAACGTGTAATTACTACAGAAAATTGGAGAGGAATCTCCCATACTCACCCATTAGCAGGAAAACACAGCTGTTCTGATGTAAACAAAGGCGTGTTGAGTGTTGCCATCTATGGTTAGGTTTATTTATTTTTATTTTATTTTATTTCATTATTTATTTTTGTTTTGATTAATTTTTAAAAATCAATTTTACTCTCAAAACACATGAACTTTTTAGGTAGGGACCCCTTTGCACTTGCACCATGTGCACAGTCTTGGATGAGCCCCTGAACCCCTTGGACCGCGGGGCCCCCAAATGCGCGGGGCCTTAGGCAAATGCCTCGTTTGCCTATGCGGTAATCCGGCCCTGCTTAAGACGACTGGTTGTCTTCAAGACTCTCATTGTCTTTAAGACCTATGTCAAGGCCCTTAGCTGTCTGCCAAGACCCTTGGTTATTTTCATGACCCCTATCTGTCTTCAAGGCCCCTGGCTGTTTTCAAGACTTCTAGGTCTCTTCATGGCCCCATTGCTTTCTTCAAGACCCCTGACTGTCTTCAATATCCCTGATTGTCTTCAAGACTTCTGTCTTGATGTTTTCAAATCCCCTGGCAGTCTTCATGACCTGTGCCTATCTTCAATTTGCCCAGCTGTCTTTAAGACCACTAGCTGTCTTTAAGACCCCTGTTGTTTTCAAGACCTATTGCTGTCTATAAAACCCATGGCTGTCTTCAAAACCTTTAAGTGTCGTCAAGACCCATGTTAACCTCAAGACCTCTAATTGTTTCTAAAACCCGAGTCTTCAAGATTCTTGGAGATCTTAAAGACCCCTGGTGTTGAGAAATGGTATACCAGCTAAGGTTAAAGATTAAATATAGGGGGAACTTTGTTTGGTAAGACAGCTCATTGCCTGCACAGCCACCCCTGCAGGCGAGGTCTTGATAAGTCATAAACACTTTGCAACAGGCTGAAATGGAAATGTCTTAATAATGGTATAAACCTTGGTAATAAATACCAACAAGTTGGTTTAGAAAGACACATAAGCAAACACTATGACATATTTATTAGAAAACGTTTCGGTCCTGGGACCTTAATCACTTCTAACATACAGAGGTAGAAAGACATTATATATATAGGCGGAGAGTGAGGTGTGAGTGACGCACGTGACCTGAGGAATGTCATGTAGTGATGAGGACGGGTAGACGATGAAATCATGTGACTCCTGTGTTGTTGGGTTGGTGGTGCTTAAGTATCTTGCGGACTGCAAGATCTCTGCCTGTCTCGCCTACATATTTCTTGGGACAGAACCCACAGGGGATCGTGTAGACGCCTGCAAAACGCAGCCCCACACCTCTAACTTCTACAGCAGGCGTCTACACTATCCCCTGTGGGTTCTGTCCCAAGAAATATGTAGGCGAGACAGGCAGAGATCTTGCAGTCCGCCTGAATGAGCATTGAAATGCCTCTAACAGAGATGATGTAAGGTACGCCTGTGTCCTCCACAGAGACTCCATGGGGCATTTGATGAACTGGAATGAGGCACAACTCGTTCTCACCAAACCAGACCTCAGACGCCGACGGTGCCTAGAAGCCTCACTAATCGCCGTCACCGACACTATAGAACGCAACGCTGGAAACTACAAAATTTCAAAAACATTGGCATACATGATACTTAAGCAGCACCAACCCAACAACACAGGAGTCACATGATTTCATCGTCTACCCGTCCTCATCCCAACATGATATTCTTCAGGTCACTATGCATCACTCACATCTCACTCTCCGCCTATATATATAATGTCTTTCTACCTCTGTATGTTAGAAGTGATCAAGGTCCCAGGACCGAAACGTTTTCTAATAAATATGTCATAGTGTTTGCTTATGTGTCTTTCTAAACCATGTCTTAATAATAAATTACCCCTAGGGGGAATTATGTCAGCATATATCAGACACTGATTGCTGGCAACACTTACTTGAGAAGGCTCAATGGCCTGTAAACAACCAAGTATTGGTAATTTAATCAACATTACATGATATCCGCTGTGCAGCCGACCTAACAATGTTACAATCATTAAACGTACCCGGGTATTTGTAGCTGACCCGTAATTGCACTCGGATATCCGATGACTTGATTGAAGAATATTGCACTACACTCTGTTCGCAATACTCATTGCTACACTGTTCGTCAATATTAATTCACACCATAATGTCACTAAAGAAGCTGATCACACTTCTCTGTAAGTGTTTATTGAGATTCTTTTGTGCAAAACACGTGGAACAGTGTTCTTTGTTGGTTATCCCGGCACGTCAGTGTCTCTCAGTAGAGTCAAAAGCAATATAAACTCGCCACAGCTTCCTATGCCGTCACTGCCCCTAGTACATAAAGGAAAAGCTGATATAGCATTTTTTCCCTCTTTGCCACTTCCACTATGAAGCAAAGCAGAATGCTTGATTTTTGCTGTCTTAAGCATAGACAACAATGTACACTATCTTTACCATGGTAATAAAGTGGGAGCTGGATTTTCCTAAATTGTCCTGCTAAGGTAAGAGATGGAATGTCTCTCATAACTAAACTATTTGCAACTCTCGGATTCGCTTGCAAGGTACGTGGTGGTTGCTTGACCACGTCACACACTTGTACTGCATCTGGGATCAATTACTTGCTGTAGCAGTAAACAAGGTATTTGCCCCTTCTGATAGGGCTTGGGCCCTTCCTTGGCTGAAGTAGGCTGAAGGGGGCGCGAGTAAAACCCCATCCTGGAGTAAATTTCTCCACCTGGGGGGCCGCGGAGGTTTGCTGCGGTTGTTACTATTCATCACTTAACATCAGTTAATTTAGTTTTCTCACTAGCCTCTGCTGATTGTCTTGTTCTGAACAGCTTTAGTCTGTGTGGTTTCTGGAGAATCACTTAATTTTGTTTTCATCACTGTGTATTCTAACGGCATAGTTTGTTTATTGTCCGCTTATTCACTACACCTTTGCTCTCAAAACATCAACTGTCCTGATGATTCCATTTGCATCAAGATATATGGTCACAATTTTTCCAAGTGGACATTGGGGGATGTGGACCATTCGCATTGTCAATAAATTCTCTGTCACCAGGTTTAGGACTTACGATTTTCGGGACACAGCTCCATAGAAGGTGTTGACTCTTAATTGAGGTGTGATTGTCTTCTCCCCAGGATGTTCTCTCAATGTCCAATCACTTTATTAAGGTGCTTGAATTTACGTCTGAGTTGCTCAGGTTCGAAATAAGTTGGAACCTCTTTGATTTCTCTCTCATTCATGGGAGGAACAGGTTCGAGTACCTTCTGGCATGGAGCCAAATGGAGATGGACTTAACATTCTAAATTATCCAGATCATCGGTAACAAAAGGTGAGGTGTGTTGTTGAGCTATTTTCTATTTCACGTCACAACTGTACGGAATTCTTCTAAGTCGGGGTTTTCATTGACGATGACGAGTCTTCCTTAAACAACGTTTGCAATGCGCGATATTCTTTCATGAAAATCGCCGTGCTATGGAGATTTAGGGGGAATGTTTCTCCATTGACATGCCTATGCACTCTGCCCCTGGACCTGACTCTGGAACTCCGGGTTTATCAAGAACTGCATGAAGCCACATCATAAAGCTTTTACCATCCTTTCGAGAGAAAGCATATGGCTGATGATGCCTTCTGGGTTATTTGCTGTCTCAGTTGAAACACTGCTGAGTCAAGGCAGGTAATGTATGTCATACACTTCATTCGAACTTTACACTATATATGTCATGTATAACTGTTATTCACATGTGTTATATTTCTTATTCTATAATGTCTCGTTAATAATATATATGAAAGCTTAACTTTATATTTAATTTCCTTTAATATAAAGTTAAATCTAAAAGAAACAAACATAAACACAACCTCGTCTCTTAATTTCTGTGTATAAACATTATTAACACTATGCACTCAGACAAACTGTCACTGGCTTGTTGATATTGT